TTCCTGTGTTCCGGCGCCACAGCCATTTTTCCCTGTAGTCCACGTCTCTACCTGCAAGCCCCATGGCTCTTTCATCGCAACACGTTCGAGAAGAAAATTGCCACTTTTCATTCCCACGGTGTTTTCCTACATTGCACAGCTTCAAGTTGTACCACCAGTGACTTCAGACGGAAGCCTGCAAATCCTCCTCCATTCCTCCCTCTTTACCCTCCACATTCAAGTCAAGTCCTCATAATTCTAGTTTTCCTATCTCGCTAACCCCACTGCCAGTGCCCTACGTGCAAGCTCTCAGCATCGCCTGTCTCACCACTTCTGTAGCCTCTTCGTTGGTCTCCTCGTACCTAGACCAACACCGTCCAATAGAACTTTCTGTGAGGCAGGAAAGCTATGTCTGCCCTGTTCAGGAAGGTGGACCCCTGCTGTAGAGAAGGTTTAGTCTTTGAAGAATTTTGAAGAGTGAAAACTTTCATTGGCAACAGTGAAAAAACAGTCTAGAGCTGTGCTGTCCTGTATTGGCCCTTTCATTAAATAAAATTTAAACTTTGGTTTCTCAAGTCACATTAGCCACATTGTAAGTGCTCAGTATTTACTTGTGACAAGTGGCTACCATAGTGGACAGTGTAAATAGGAACGCTCGCTACAGCAGGGGTCTGTAACATACGAACCCACTGGAATTTTGCATGTGCTTTTTTTCCCTCTTTCTGGGAAAAACCCATAGTGTATATCAGATGCACAAATAAAAATGATTTGAAAATCAGGCAACAAAGTCTGATTTCGTTAACACTGTTATTACTGCTCCCAAATCCTTCCTGTTGTGCCCCAGATACAGCTCCAACCTCATCTCCCACTGTTGTCCTGCACACATAGTGTGCTTCATTCTAGTCATAGGTGACTAGTCCTGCATCACTTAACAACGGGAATACGTTCTCAGAAAGGCGTCATCTGGCAATTTCATTGTGCAAGTGCCATAGAGTGTATTTCCACAAACCTAAGTGGCATAGCCTACTGCACACCCAGGCTGTAGGGTGTAGCCTGTTGCTCCTGGGCTACAAACCTGTACAGCATGTCACTGTACTGAATACTGTAGGCAACTGTAACACAGTGGTAAGTATTTGTGTATCTAAACATAGAAAAGGTCCAGTCAAAAATACAGTATAAAAGATAAAAAAAATAGTACACCTGGACAGGGCACTTACCATGAACAGAGCTTGCAGGACTGGAAGTTGCTCTGGGTGAGTGAGTGGTGAGTGAATGCGAAGGCCTAAGACATTACTATATATTATTGTAGGCTCCTGAACTTATTTTTAAAATAAAATAATTGCTTTATGACATCACAACAGCTACGATGCTACTAGATGATAGGAATTTTCAGCTCCATCATGATCTTAAGGGACCACCTTAACGGAAATGTTAAGCAGCCGGTGACTGCATTGCATTTGTTTCTTGAACGGGCCATAGTCTCTTAGTCTCTCTTCTGTGTTCTCACAGTGTTTTTTCTTCTGCCTGGAACCCTGTTCCCATCGCACCCCCATCCCTCCCTTTCCTCACCTCCTCTCTGTAATTCTGCCTCCTCCGCTGTCTGGGCTATTCCCACTCATTCTTTAGGATCCACTTCACCTATCATGGCCTTCTAGTAGATGCTAAATAAATGATCGTGGGATATGGCTACTTAGATTTCTCAAGTGCATCCTCTTTCTGTTTCCTTCTGAGGGTTTGGCTGCCAGTGGTCACATGAATTAGCCAAAAGTGCCATCTAGTGGCATATGCAGAGGACAACAATCACCTCCAAATGGAGCATTTCACTAAGAGGGACAAAACTTGGAAAAGGAGACAGGCTTTTCTCCCCACCACCACACGTAATAGTGAGAATCTGCTAGAGCTCTTGGCTATGCTGGATAATTTCATATTTTCTATCTCCACTTAAAACTCTCACCTGGTCTGGAAGTAGGTGTCATCGTTTCCATCTTACAGAGTCTGAGGTTCACAGGGACCTCCTTAAATTAAGCCCTTTCTTTGCAGAATTGGAAGCAAATGAGGAAGAACAGGTCACGACTGGCCCTTTTTTGCTCCCCCAGGGTGGTAAGTTCTCAATTAGAGCTGGTGGGAGGGATCTCATTAATGGGGTGATTAAAAATGATCCCCGCCGCAGGTGATGCAGTCGAGGACACTCAGGAAGAGAATCTTGTTGAGTCTCTAAGGAGGCAAGAGATCCGCTGGTGTGAAGTCTGCTAAGTATTGAGGAGAAGGAGTGACGAAGACATCTATTAATGAAGGAATCAGACGGTGTTTCTCCTGGTGAGTTTACGGTGCAGCACGCGGAGGTGCGTGGTCAACGTCATGGTGTGTGGCATGAGACACCGATAAAGGAGAGTCCCTACAGAGAGGAAGCCAGGATGATTTGCTAGTGAGGATCCTGGGAGGGAACACTAGAAACCTGTTGAAGAATTCCCAATAAAGGATGTCATATCTGGGAGGGTCACTAGAAGTAGCACAATATGGGAGACAAAATTTAGAAGGTTTAAGACCTGCGTTCATTCCACTTTGGGCCATGCCTCTAACCTGCATTCGACGCCGAGCAAGTGACCTGGAACCACTGAGCCTCAGGCTGGACACGGAGGTAAAACTGCTTTTGTTGTTGTTTTAATTGGTAACACCTTTATTGAGATAATTCACATAGCATATACTTCAGCCATGTAAAACTCAATGGTTTTTAGTATATTCACAGAATTGTTCAACCGTCACCACAGTAAATTTTAGAACATTTTTATGACCCTAAAGAGAAACCCTACGCCCTTTAGCCAAAACTCTACAATCTCCCCCCTCACCTCCAGCCCTATGCAACCACTAATCTACTGTTTCTATAGATTTGTCTATTATAGACATTTCATGTAAATAAATTCAAACAGTATGTGATTTTTCTGTAACTGGCTTTTCACTAATACTTTCCATGTTCATCCATGTTCTAGCATGTATCAGTACTTCATTCTTTTTTATTGCCAAATATTTCATCACTATATTCATGTCACATTTTACCTACTCATTCATCAGTTGGTTGGTTGTGCTTTTTGGCTATTACAAATGATGCTGCTATGAACATTTGTGCACAGGTTTTTTTGAGGACATAGTTTTCATTTCTCTTGAGTATATACCTAAGTAGAATTGCTGGGTCATATGGTAATTCTGTTTAACCTTTTAAGGGACTGCCAACTGTCTTCCAAAGAAGCTATAGCATTTTATATTCTGACCAGCAGTGTATGAAGGCCAAAGAGGTCTTTTAAAACTGTAGCTCTGTTCATAAAAGTGTCATGGAGATCTAGAAACATTGCTTTTATATAGCTCTATTCCTTCTTCCCTCTTTCTGTGCTATTATTGTTATGAATATTGCACCTATTTGTTACAAACCCACTGATATTTTGTTATACTTTACACAATTTGATGTCTCTTAAACTAAGGAGAGCAAGTATATATTTATAGGATTAGTTATATTAACCTTCTTTTTTACCTTTTCTGGTTCTCTTCATGTGTTCCTATGAATTCAAGTTACCATCTGGTGTCATTTCCTTACTCCAGATACCGCTTGGCTCACATTTATTTCCTTTGTGATGTTAATACCCAGTGTTACATGTCATAGGCCCCAAAATACAACTGTATGCATATTTTCTACAATTGCTTTGTAAATCAGTTACAGAAGAAATAAGCATTTATACTGTCTTTTACAAGGACATAATTACCTTTACTATGCGGGTGGCTTGCACACCCCATGAGATACAATAACCCTCAGCTAAGAGCTGGGGGAGTGATCGATATATCCTTGGCTGTGCCCTCCAGGAGCGGCCATCACTGTGAGCTGAGGAGGAAAGAAATGGTCGATGGGTCAAATGCCACAAACTCCCCGTTCTTACCAAGTTTTCCTAGATTTCTTTGAGCGTTTCTTCATTTAATGAGCTGTATGCCATTAGGATGATTTCCAGACACTTTAAATAGTTGTTTTGTTTATGATTTTCAGTTAGCTTGTTTCATTGGTGAAATGGGTCCACAGAGCTTCTCACACTGCCATTCTAAAAATCAGTTTCACTCAGTTCTTTACAAAGTGCCTTCATGTATAAAATTTTATTTGATCCTCACAATTTTATAAAAGGATTTTTAGCCCTAGAGATGTTAAGTAACTTGGCTAAAGCTGTAAGACTTATCAGAGCCATGTGTTCACTCAGGAAGGGCTTATTGATTGCCTGCTCTGTGCTAAGCATTAGATTAAAAAAATGAACAGTTTACTGTGTAGATAGGAGACAAAAACCAGGCTATTACAGCACAAGGTTAAGTGCTAGAATAAAGCATACGGTGCTTTAAACAATAAGAACAGCTTTAGGGTTAATTGAAAAGAAGAAATCTTCACGAAATGAAGAAAAGAACAACTCTTAAGGAAGTGATCGGGAGCCTCTAGTCTTCCAAGTTATTTGTATATTGCCATAGGGTAATTTTAAAATGTGATTTGTGTACAGTATATGTTGAACTAATGCAACAGAAAATACATCTAACATATTTTAATTTTCTTTTGATAGGTAAGAATCAGTGTTTAAAGTTTGTTAAAATATTTTTATATTTAATTCTTAGGTTTCTATAGGGTAACTACTGAAACATTTATGCTATACTTCAGAAATATTGTACCATACTTGATCAGTCTTATTGAAAGTTCTGGAAAATCAGGAGCTATTAATGTGTGGAATGCTCATACCCTGAGTAGTGTTATTAGGTCTCCTGTCTAAAGCAGGAAAATAAACTGAAATGTGGCTCAAAACATGGCTCTAAGCTCTATAGGGCACGATCAGCTACTTGTAGGTCTTCCCATCCACTCTCCTGGGAAATGATTCCATTTTGGAAATTAAGTACCTTTCTAAACATAGCCTGTATTTTTAATTTAGAACATTTTTACATTTTTCCCTTAGTACCACATTCTTGTGACCAGAAAAAAAAAAAAAAAAAGACTACTGCAAACTGGTTTGTTTTTTATGGGAAAATGTCAACATCTTTATTATTAATGTAAGCATCTGATGCCAAAGAAAAGAAGGTAATTTTACAAACTCAGAATTTTTGTAAGTACACGAAATTTCCATTTTATTGTATGGTTTTATATCACACTAGTGCAAATGCATTTCTCCACAACCATTTCAACGTAGCTCCTTTGGAATTATTTCAGTCATCTGTAATGTGTGACTTCACCAAATACCTTGAAGCTATACATGCAAACAAAATTCCAAATGACTAACTTTTAGATGAAAGGACAAGAAACAGTCATCAGATGATGACTGGGGGGTGTTTAATCTCCAACAAGAAACTTTGTCGAAATGTTTCTTCTGATACAGCAGTTATAAGTCAGAACCTTCAAAAAACAAGGGCAGAACAAGAGTATAACAAAAGAAGCTTGTGCAGCATAAGCCTCCCATAGTCTGAGCCTGACGTAAGCAAGGCGAAGCATCTTTCCTGCGAACTAAATGGGTCTCCAGTATTTCCACCTAGCTGAGCTTTCAGAGATAGATGCCCAAGACATATCATGAATATATATATACCATCTTGGCTCCGGTTGCATTAATTATGCCTGAAGAGTTTAATACCCATCCAAGTCCAAAGGTGGAAGAACACATACACGGGTATGGTAATCGGCAAGAGCAGACTGTAAAAACAAAGGCTGGCTGTGCTAGTGCAGCCCTGTGGGAAGTTTTCTTCCACAGAGGCTGAGTAAAACAGTCCTGCTAAAGAGATCAGTGGAACAAGAACAGTCAACGTAGGAAGAGAGAGAAACATTCTTCTCCACTTAATACCCGCCACCCTGCTTTAAAAGGTACACAGTATTAGGAAATTTAGTTGTTGTTGTGCTTTTTTTTTTTAAATTATGACCTAGTGCTGCTCCATTTCTTCTTGCTTCTTACTTTGCTGTATCATCCTAGCTGCCTGTGGTATCATATTAGGAATCCCATCAATGATTGGATAGGCTATTCCCAGCTCTTCATTGATCAATTCATTTGTTGATGCTTCATATCTGAGGAGGAAAAAAAAGAACAAGATGAATTGTGGAAAACAAGATGTTTGGAAGACCTTAATTTTCAATATGTAACACCATCTATCCAATTCTTGACATAGAGTTAATCCCAGAATAGTCTTCTTTAATTCTAAAAGCAGCAATAGCTAACGCAACCATTTCCCTTAGAATCTATAATTATTCCCATTTTAGTTAGTTTCTGATTCTCTTTTTCCCCTATTCCCAACTTACTCCTTAATTTTTTTTTTCATACCAGTCAGAAAAGATCTGGAAAAGGTATTTTATCCAAATATTCCTGCATTATTTTAGTCAAGCCCAAAACCATTCTGTTATTTTTATTTACTACTGGAACAAAAACTAGAAAAAAATCAACTTCCTACTTTTAGGATAAATACTAAATAGAGAAACTTAATTGATTCATTAGAAGGAAATCACTGAAATGGATGAGACAGCAGAAATGAGGACACCTTGGAAAGCAGTAAGCCTGCCATGAACTAGTTATATAATTAGCTAAAAGGTAAATCAAATGGTAATTTCGCTGTTTAAGAAAGTTGAATAATATGTACATTATGGGACAAAAACAGAGAAATATGAAAATAAAAATTGCTAGCAATTACAATCCAAAGATAACCACTGGTAATATTCTGGTGTTGTGTTTATGCGATTTGTAATACTGTATTAGTGCTGTCCATATTCGGTTTTAGTAGTCCGGAACTGTAGAGCTGTGTTCCCAAGAACTAGGTTAAAGGTGAAGAAGGCTTTTACAAAAACCTGCTAGCCCGCAACTAAGAGCCAACGGGCAGCACACACAGCTTAAACGATCAAGACTGTCGGGTATCAGTTGTACATGGCACTTTCACAAGAATCTGGAGGCCACTGCAGTATTTTTCATCATCTTAACTTAAAAACCTGAATACTTGGGACTTGTCTTGAATCTCAGTGGTTCATAAACCTGGCTGTACATCAGAATCATTTAGGGGCATGTAGCTACCCCAAAAACGCCTCGATCCATTCCTGCGGGCAGGCGATCTGATTTGGGAGTTCTAGGCCTCGGCTCCCCTGGCTTCCTCCGGCCCTTCCCGCCGCAGCGGGCGGTGCGCAGCAGCCCGGCCGGACCAGCGTCCAGAAAATGGCAGCGGGGAACACCGGATGACCGGAAAGGCCCCCACAGCTGCGAGAGGCCGCGCTGTCCACCTGGCTCCCCGCCCCCACCTCCAACGGGAGGCCGCGCAGGGAAAGCCGAAGCCGGCGAATCACCTGAGCGGCTTCTTCGAGAGCGGGCACACCAGGAACTCCAGCAGCGCCGGCTCGAAGGTGCGAGGCGGCCCCCCTGCCTTCTCGCTGCGGTCTGCCGAGGGCCGCGACCCCGACGCGTGCAGGCACCTACGGGCGACCGCGGACGTCGGTGCGCGAGTCCCCCGCAGCGCTAAGGCTAGCTTGCCACATGCTCCGCTCAGCATGGTCTGGCAACCGGCGACTGTGCCTCGCCGTCCCCTCCGCCAGCCGGGGCCAAGCTTCCCGCTCCAACCTACCCGCGCATCAAGCCCCGCCGGCCAGGCCCCGCCCCTCGGTGCTCTGGGAAACGCTGTCCGGAAGTGGGCAGGGGCTGGCGCTTTCGTTCCGAGCGTGCTCCCGACCGGACTGTTTTTCCGGCGGGCACGGCTCAGTAGGTAGCAGTGCTGCCCCCGGGCGGAGGCCTCTCATAAGCCCGCCGCGCTTGCAGGACTACAAACCAAACCGGGAACCTCGGGCCCTTCACAGAGATGCCGGGAAGCCGGTGGCCGCACCTCAGAGTCGCACAGCGCTAAGCTTGGACCTTCGCGGTTCTCTCCTAGCGAGGTTTCAAACACAGTCATACTGGGTGTGTTAAAAGTGTTAATTTGTGTAAATCTTTACCACAGTTTCTGTGACCTTGTGTTAATGGGAAAAAAAAGCCGGACTCTGTAAAGTAATTTTAAAGAGATTTACTCCGAGCCAAATTTGAGGACCATGACCCGGAGCCACGCTCAAGAAACCTTGAGCAAGTGGCCTCGCTGTGGCTGGGTTTCAGTTTGGTTTTATGCATTTTAGGGAGACAGGGGTGACAGGCGAAGTCATGCATCAATACGTGGGCGGCATACATTGGTTCGGCCTGAAAAGGTGGGCCGTCTGGAAGAGGGGGCTTACAGGTTATAGGTGGGTTTAAAGATTCTTGGGCTTGTCATTGGTTAAAGACATGAAGCTTTGTCTAAAGGTTTCGAATGTTTTAACTTTAGGAGCTGGTTTATCAGAGATAAGCCACTGGACATAGACTTGTTGTGTAAATGGAGGACCTGCAGGTGTGTCTTGCTTACCCTTAGGCCTGTTAATGGGTTACAAAGGATGTCCCCAAGAAGGGAGGGGGACACGATGAGGCTTGTCTGACCTCCCTCCGTCTGGCAGGCAATTTAGTTTAGGATATTCCTTTGGCCACGAGGGGGTCCATTCAGTCAGCGGGTGGGGAGGTGAGCCTTAAAATTTTATTTTAGTTCACACTTGTTTGGCGCTTTTTTTCCTATTAAAAAAATTTTAAGAACCTGAAAAGAATGGCTTAGGTTTCTCACCCTCCAAGATGTTTAGATTCTTCCCCCATGACACCCAGTCATAGTGAATTCATCTGCGTAATGAAGCACAACTGATTGACTTCTATAAATGAGCTTAGAGGCCGCAAGGAGTCTAAATAACTGATCAGGTAGTGTCCCTTGGTCAAATGGATGATATATTCAGTTGAATTTTTTATTTCAAGTTTGTCCAAGAAAATAATGCATGCTTATGTCCTTCTTAATAATGTAGTAGACAAGAACTTGGGCTCTGGGGCCTGACAGCTTGGTTCCATGTCCACAGTTTACTAGCCGGATGACTCCAGCAAATGACCTAAGTGTTCGTTTTCCTTATCTATATGATAAGATTAATAATTGTACCTGCCTTGAGAATTTCCCTTAAGGTAGGGGATTCAATGTGATAGCGTATGCAAAGAACATTTAGAAAAGTACCTGACACAAATTAATATTCAATTAATGTTATCTGTTGTTATTTTTCTTTCATCTATTCTTCCCAGATCAATATACTCAAAGATTCCCTGTTAGTCTTCAAGTTTTTCCCTTTGTTTTGCTGAATATTGAACTTCTTTTTTTTGCATTGATGGGCTTTATCATTTCACACTTTGAGTTCCTGGGAGGTAGGGGTGGGAGTGAAGGATATACAAATACGTATTTACATTTTCAAACTTCTCTTCCATTCAGCAATGTAAGTATAAATTGAGAAATTTTAATTTTATTTGTCCATCCTATTTTTTTAAAAAAACCACTACATTATTTAATGTTCTTTGTTCACTAATGCTCAAAAGATTTCCAAAGGCTAATGTAGTTTATAGGGTACTAAAAAGGAAATTCTTCTCTGGGTAGATAGATATTTAAGAGATAATGAAAGTCTCTGGTTTCCAAGTCATCCCCTTGTCACAAAGAAATCTTTCACAGTCAGAACTTTCCATTATTAGAGTCACTAATGGACTAGAGAATGGGACAGTTGGCAGGGTTGTTACCCTCAAGAGAGACTATTGCAAAGTTCCTGTGCTACCTTCACACTATTTCCTTCTAGGGTAGTAGCAGGAATTAATTTTTCAGTCGAAGTTAGTTGATACTTTGGGCCCAAGGGAGCTGGTGAGCTATAGGAAAGATATGTTTCAGTGAGGCATGGGCAAGCAGAGCTTGACTTCTGCCAGCTCTGAGTGGGCTCAGCCGTTTGCCCCTGTGAGGTTGGGACCAGCACCCATGCATAAGGCCAGCTTCATTAGCTAGACTGGCTGACAGATCCCTATCACTGGGTTTTCTAACCAGTTATAAATAAATTAGTTTCAGTTTGCCTCCACACAGAAGGTTTGAGGCAGATCAGTTTACTTTATATTAGTTTAGGGGAAGAATGGAGAGTAACAGCAAAGTATTTAAAACATCCTTGAATTTATAACACAAAAAAATCAATAAACCAATATTTAAGGAACATCTGAATGTGTGACTATATTTGTCCAACCATGTACATATTAAGTTGCAAAATGCCTCTGAATAGCCCTCAGTACTTAAAGACTACAACTCATTTCTGCATATAGTATACTAAGCTAAATGTAGGTGACAGGATAGCAAAAAGTGATAGTTTGACTTCCTCTTTCCTGATTCTCGTACCCTTTATTTCTTTCTCTTGTCTGATTGCTCTGGCTATGTTGAATAAAAGTGGTGACAATGGTACCTTTGTCTTGTTCTAGTTCTTATGGGGAATGTTTTCAACTTTTCCACATTCAGTATGATGGTGGCTGTGGGCTTGTCATATATGGCTTTTATAATTTTAAGATATGTTCGTTTTGTGCCTAGTTTTTTGAGGGTTTTTATCATGAAAGGGTGCTGGATTTTGTTGAATGCTTTTTTGGCATCTGTTAAAATGATCATATGATCTTTGTTTTTGCTTCCGTTTATGTGGTGAGTCACATTTATTGACTTTCGTATGTTGAACCATCCTTGCATCCCTGGAATGAGGCCCACTTGGTCACGGTGGATTATTTTTTTGATATGCTGTTGAAAACAGTTTGCTAGTATTTTGTTGAGGATTTTTGCATCTATATTCATAAGGGATATTGGCCTGTAGTTTTCTTTTTTGTTATGTCCTTTCCTGGATTTGGTATCAAGGTGATACTGGCTTCATAGAATGAGTTGGGGAGGATTCCTTCCTTCTCAATATTTTGGATTAATTTCTGTAGTATGAGTACCAGCTCTTCTTTGTAGGTCTGGTAGAATTTAGCTGTGAATCCAGCTGATCTGGCGGTTTTTTTGGTTGGGAGATTTTTTTATTACAGCTTTGATCTCACTGCTTATTATTGGTCTGTTGAGGAGTTCTGTTTCTTCCTGATTGAGTCCTGGGAGGTTGTGTGTTTCCAGGAATTTGTCCATTTCCTCTATGTTTTCTAGTTTATGTGCATACAAATTTTCATAGTATTCAAGGATGATATTTTATATTTCTATGGTATCAGTTGTAATGTCTCCTTTTTTATTTCTGATTGAGCTTATTTGGGTCCTTTCTCTTCTATTCCTGGTTAATCTAGCAAGAGGTCTATGAATTTTGTTTATCTTTTCAAAGAACCAACTTTTTGTTTCATTGATCCTTTGTATTGTTTTGTTGTTTTCCATTTCATTTAGTTCTGCTCTGACTTTTGTTATTTCTTTTCTTCTTCTGGCTTTGGATTTGGTTTGCTCTTCCTTTTCTACTTCCTTAAGATGTGACATTAGGTTGTTAATTTGTGATCTTTTTGTCTTTTTGATGTAGACATTTAAGGGTACGGATTTCCCCCATAGGCCTGCTTTTGCTATATCCCATAGATTTTGATATCTTGTGTCCCCTTTGTCGTTCAATTTGAGGAATCTTTTGATTTCCATCTTAATTTTATCATTGACCCAATAATCATTCAGCAGAGGTTGTTTAATTTACATGACTTTGTGTAGATTTGAGCAATTCTTTTAGAATTGATTTCCAGTTTTATTCCACTGTGGTTTGAGGAGATATATGGTATGATTTCTGTTTTTTAAAATTTGTTGTCACATATTTTGTGGCCTAAGATATGATCAACCTTGGAGAATATCTTGTGCTAAGGAGAAGAATGTATATTTAGTAGTTTTTGGGTAGAATGTTCTGTAAATGTCTGTTAGGTCCATTTGATCTAGAGTCCCATTTAAGTACAGTGTTTCTTTCTTTATTTTCTACTTTGATGATCTGTCCAGCTCTATCAGTGGGATGTTGACATCCCCAGTAATTATGATGCTACTTTTTATTTCTTTGCTTAGATCTAGTAGAATTTGCTGTATGAATCTGGCAGCTCCTGTGTTAAGTGCATGTCTATTTAGGATTGTTAAATCTTCTTGTTGAATTGTTCCCTTTACCATTATATAATGACCATCTTTGTCTTTCTACACACACACACACAAACACACACATACACACACACTCTTAACATAACACCTATGGCTTCCTTACAATTATTCATTTATAGGTCTGTATCCCCTACTAATCTGTAAGATTCTTTAGGTCATATACCACGTGCGTTTTATTTCTTTATCGCGAAATCTAGCACAGTGACTGGCACGTAATAGATGTTTAGCGAATGTTTGTAAAATGAATGTAATCTGTCTAGTATCAAAGGTTAGTTGTTCCTCTTAAATTGCCAATAGAAAAATTATTATGCAATTATGGAACATACTGGGAATTTAGCTACCAGTGAAAAGGACAATGAACAATTTCTTTTTTAATTTAGATAAAGTCAAAACAAACTCTTTCCCAATCTGATTATAATTTTGAGCAACGTAAGTGAGGATGGAGATACTAGAAGGTGTACCATATAAGATCTGTCTTCTAAGTTCTTTTTTGTCTGAGATTATATATTTTTTAAATTTACATTAAAGTTACAAAACTGCAACCAAGAATTCTTACCTATTTTCATCTAGATTCCCCAGATTAACAGCTTTTTTTTTTTTTTTTTGAGACAGAGTCTCACTCTTTTGCCCGGGT